TGACTGCCAACCCCCAAATTATGACATGGAGACATTATTAATTAATACTCAGCCTTATTTTAGGCTAGTTTCTAACTAGTTTCTTTTTAACTTAAATTAACCTATTTCTATTAATCTATGTGCTGTCCTGAGGTTCATTTAACTCATCTACATACAATCTATCCTGCTTTCCTTGTTCCTCCATGTCTGTCTGTCTGGCCTCTGGCTGGCTTGCCCCTGTAAGGCTAACCTCCCACACCCCAAACACCCTGCTAACTGTCTGGCTCCCCTTTTTTCTCTCTGCACCAACCCTGCTTATCCCTCTTCTGCCCAGCTATTGGCTGTTCAGCTTTTTATGAGACCAATCAGGTTCCTTAGGCAGGCAAGGTGAAAGAGCAACACATCTTTACACAAATTCAGCATAAATAAAAACAACACATCTTTACATAGTTAAACAAATATTCTATTCTGCAACCATTGGGAGTCACCACAAAATGAGGAGCTATATTAAAAGATTGCAGTTTTGTGAAGGTTGAGAACCAGTCCTCTAGTGAAGAATAAAATGTAGAGAGAAATATGAAAACTTTCCACTCTTCAGTGTCAAAGGAGGAATAATTGCACATAGCCAATCCACAAACAGACCACTAGAGCAGTTGTCGGCAACCTTGGCTTCACACAGGAGTCACCAAGGACATTTAAAATATCCTGGGAACTGAATCCCACCCAATGCACCTTGAGAGGCCAATGAAAAGCCATGTGACTTCTATGAGATGGCAAGAACCGGTGTCTTCAGAGACTAGAATCCAAGAAAGTCTGGTGGAGTTCTGGCTCTGCCAGATGAGTATCAACTTTCTTCATTCACAACGTCAAGGACATCAAACCAAACAGTACTGTTCACATGCCAAGTAATCACCTTTGGTAGTATATTTCATCATCTATGGGTCTATTCATTCATTTTCTTCCATATTCTAAGGTATAATTTTACACTGAAGAAGAGAAAGAAATGTGCTGACATGTGCATTTAATCCTAGGGCTCAGGATGCAAAGGTCAGCAGATCTCTATGAGTTCAAGGCCACCCAGGTCTACACAGAGAGTTCCAGCCTAGGTGGGGATACATAGTGAGACCCTGTGTGTGGGGGGGAACGAAGAAAAAAGATGGGGGAGGAAAAGAGGAGGAAGAAATGAGCAGCTTCACTTCTAGTAACTTGCTACTAATCTATTATTCCCTGCTTTCTCTTTGTAAGCTCCAATTGCAGGAAACAAACATCATGGGAGAGGGGTGAGGGTCAAGAAGCTCAACACTGATGTTGATGATGGTTAGCACTGTCAAATCATCACATTTCCTTGTCTATGAACAGATTCACAAGAGGATATGCTGCTTGTCCATCTGTACAGAGAAGCAAGCACACGTACATAATATACCCAGAGGCCCCTTGACAGATAGAGTTAGGTTCCAATTCTACTTTCAACAAGGGAAGGACTGAGGGACCACCGCCTGGCCCAGAGTGTAACACTCAGAAGACACGATCTTCAGGTATTTGCTGGGTATAGAAAGGAGCTAGTGGAAGTGTGCATGGAGAATGATGGATCTGAGGAGATGCTAGGGAAAGCATATGCTGGAAGAACATGAAACAATGGAGAATGATGGATCTGAGGAGATGCTAGGGAAAGCATATGCTGGAAGAACATGAAAAGAACAACATGGTGAATGTGAGTCAGGAGACTACAGGGTGTCCTCCAGGCTGGAAGTTTCCTCCAGTAAGCTAAGGACATGATTCCTGTCTTCTTCCTTAAAGAGGACAGCGCCATTATGCACCTGGAACCTTGTACACTCACTGCAAGTTCTGCTTAATGTATAAGCCAAAGCTAGCTGCCTATCCTTCCTATGATTCTTTTTTATAAGATGATACTGTACTCTAAATTTTTAGATTTTGGAAAAAAATTTAGATTTTTAAAATTATTTTTGTTTGTTTGTTTTGTTTTGTTTTGTTTTGTTTTGTTTTTGAGACAGGGTTTCTCTGTGTAACAGCCCTACCCACCCAAAACCTCTGTAGATCAGGCTGGCCTCAAACTCACAGAGATCCGCCTGCCTCTGCCTCCTGAGTGCTGGGATTAAAGGCGTGCGCCACCAACGCCCTATTTACATACCAATCCCAGTTCTCTCTCCCTCCCATGCTCCCACTCCCTCCACATTCTCCCAACCCCACCCCCATCCACTCTTCAGGGACAGTGAGGCTTCTCATGGGGAATCATCAAAGTCTTGTCACATCATTTGGGGCAGGACCAAGGTACTCCCTGCTATATCCAGACTGAGAGAGTATCCCTCCATAGGGAATGGACTCCAAAAGGCCAGTTCATGCACTAGGGATAAATACTAGTTCCACTGCCAGCAGACCCATAGACTGTCCAAGCCCCACAACTGTCACCGGTATTCAGGGGTCCTGGTTCCATCTCATGTAGGTTTCCCAGCTGTCAGTCTGGAGTCTGTGAGTTCCCACTTGCTCCAATCAGTTGTGTCTGTGGGTTTCCCCAACATGGTCTTGACCCCTTTGCTCATATTATCACTCCTCCCTCTTTACAACTTGACTCCAGAAGTTTGGCTCAGTGTTTAGCTGTGGATTTCTGCTTCTGCTTCCATCAGCTACTGGATAAAAGCTCTATGATGGCATTTAATATAATCGTCAATATCATTATAGGGGAAGGACATTTAAGGTAGCCCCTCCACTACTGCTTAGATTCTTACTTGGGGTGATCCTTGTGGATTCCTGGGAATTTCCCTAGTGCCAGGTTTCTCATTAAGCCCATATTGGATCCTTCTAACAAGGCATCTCTTTCCTTGCTCTCCCTCGCTGTCCTTCCTCACCAGCATTCCCTCCCCATTCTCCTACCATTTATTTTAATATGTATGGGTGTTCTGCCTGCCTGTATGTCTGTGCACCATGTGCATGCAGTGCCCACAGAGGCCAGAAAAGAGTACTGAATCCATGGAAACTTGAATTACAAGTGTTTATGAGCCACTGTGTGGGTACTGGGAATTGAACCCAGGTCTTCTGGAAGAACAGCCAGTACTTTTAGCCTCTGAGCTATATGTTTGGCCCTTAAACTTTTAGATTTTGACGTGTTTCAAATGTAGAGAAAATAGGATTTTCAGTTTCCCTTCCCCCTATGTGTGACACAGGCTAACATTTCCCTGTCTACATTTTTTAGTCTAACAGTGCCATTCCATTTAATGTCAAACAACATTAAAATTTTTTATACTAAGCACATGTCTTTGACATGACTGCCACACTTCAAAATTATGCATCCAAAATTGAAACCGAAATAAAAAAAATAAATCATTCTTTTAAAAAAAGATCTAGACCTGATTCTGACATAAGCAAAACAAAATGATGGAATCAATGAACCCAGAACACATCCACACATATATACACACTTATATGCAAATGTGAATTTGCATATGTCTGGCTGAGAGAGAAAGTGGTCAGTGTATCTTTTTTATTTTTATATCATTTTTATTGCTAAAAATTATTTTTTATATACCAGCTATACACCAAGTAGCTAAGGATGACCTTGAACTTCTATGGAAAGACTTATCATTACACCAGTGTGTACTAGTGTTGGGATTATGGACATGAATGAATGTGGGTGCTAAAGACTGAAACCAGAGCTTTGTGCATGGCAGGAAGGAATAGTGTCCCTCCCCCCTGCTGGTATTTTCTTAATGACCAAACATCTACTGTTCTTTCATATGGTGTTACAGTGTGTCTGTGCTGAAATCATGTAGCTTAATCCCAGTGTGAGCTATTAGAGGGAAAGGTCTTAATCAGAACATGATGCCTAGAAGTGCCACTTACAGGAGGGGATAAGAACATCATGGTTGTCCCATGACTGAGCATGGAGGGGGGGAGGCTTTGCTAAGAGAGGGGATACCTCTTTTTTCCTTCATGTGATGTCTTATGCTAGTCTTATTTTCTAGCAGTAAGAAGAACATGGCCATATGTGGCCCCCTCAAACTTGAACCAGAACTATGAACAAAATAAACCTTTTTTCCTGTTAATTACTTAGTCTGCAGTATTGTACCATTAGCAACAAAAAGATGGACTAATCTAATATATATAAGAGAAACAGTCCCCTCATGTGAGACTGCAGAGAGATGAGGATTTTGCTTTTAGCCAATTAGTTCCCTAGCATCCATGAACATTGATATACTGGGATATCCTAGTCAGGGATATAATTCAACTCAAATGTTACAAGGCCACTGGAAGCATATTGTCCCCTCAGTCTACTGGCCTCAAAGCTGCTAGTGGCCTTCATGGAGAAGGAATATGATGTGAGGTAAATCTCTCCTGATATCTGAAAACTGACTGGCATGCTTCTAAGTTTTTAAACCCAAGCTGAAGATGGAACAATTAACTACCTCACATGAAAGAGGTGTGTATAATACCCTAACTGATTTCAGGGGGGGAGAAACATTTCTAAAAAATCAGTCTTTGGAAATTTTCTAGTTCAGTTCAAATTTCCCACAGGAGCTTACTTGATATACTTCACTCTTGCCTGTTCCATCTTCCCTCTGCTAATCTCTACTGAAAACCAATTTGGAGACAGCCACCTGCTTTCCCCCATTGGAGTCACTGCACTGTCCCCGAAACAAATGAATAGGATGACTCCCAGGCCGTCATAGCTCACCACTGTGTCTCCAACAGTGAGAACGCATCTCCTGGAAGAATAGACTGACCAAATTTCATGCTACTGTTTCAATGAATCTCCTATCTCCTTCTTAGATGAAGTCTCCAGTTTGGAAGCTGTGTTTCTAAAAAGAAGAAAGATAACATCTGCCCACAGATGGTACCATGAAAATAATTTATAGGAGCCGATGTTGAGTTGAAAGTGGTGGTAATGACATTAAGCAATGTGGA